AGGTATGGAGAGAGGGAAGGAGGGAGGAAGGACAGAGGGAGGGATGGAGGGATGGAGAGAGGGACAGACACGGGGGAATGGACAGGAGGAGGAAGAGAGGGATGGAGGGAAGGATGGAGAGAGGGATGGAGGGATGGAGAAAGGATGGAGAGAAGGAGAGGATGGACGGAGGGATGGAGAGAAGGATGGAGAGAGGGACGGAGCGATGGAGAGAAGGATGGAGGGATGGACAAAAAGATGGAGAGAGGGACAGAGGGAGAGAGAGAAAGATCGAGGGAAGGATGGAGGGGAGGCATGAAAGGATGAAGAGATGGATGGAGGGATGGAGGAATGGACAGAGGGATGGAGAGACGTATGGAAGGGCGGATGAAGGGATGGAGGGATGGAAAGACAGATGGACAGAGGGATGGAGAGATGGATGGAGGGAAGGATGGAGGGAGGGATGGAGGAATGCAGAGAGGGATGGAGAGAGGGAGGGATGGAGAGAGGGACAGAGGGATGGAGAGACGGATGGATGGAGGGATTGAGAGATGGGTGGAGGAACAGAGAGAAAGATGGATGGAGGGATGGATGGAGAGATGGATGGATGGACGGACGGAGAGATGGATGGATGGATGGATGGAGGGATGGATGGATGGACGGACGGACGGACGGATGGATGGATGGAGAGATGGATGGACGGATGGATGGACGGATGGATGGATGGCGGGAGGGGATGGATGATGGAGGAACGGATGGAGGGATGGACAGCAGGATGGAGGGACGGATGGGCAGAGGGACGGATGGATGATGGAGGGATGGATGGACAGAGGGATGGAGGGATGGGTGATGGACAGAGGGACGGGTGCCCCCAGGAGAGCTACGAGATGGGGCCCCGGGGCAAGGCCCCGCCCCGGGCGCCGAAGGGGCGTGGCCGCCGCAAGCAGGAGAAGCTGGAGGACATGAAGAAGGAGATGGACGTGGTAGGAGGGGAACTGGGAGGGACTGGGAGGGTCAATGGGGGGGCACTGGGAGGTCAGTTGGGTGACTGGGAGGTCAACAAGATGGACTGGGAGGGACTGGGGGTCAATGGGGAGCACTGGGAGGTCAACTGGGGGGACTGGGAAGTCAACTGGGAGGACTGGGATGTCAA